TCCCTCTAAAGTTCCTCAAGGACAAGAACTTTCTCCTCCTCCTCCTCTTCTTGTAAATTCTCAGCAGTCAATTCATTTACTGTTTTACATCATTTGCTTTAAAAGGATTGGTAGTTGAATTTGATTAGTTTAAAACTACCATAGGAAAATATTCTGTAGCAGTTGATTATTTTTTTACTTAAGCTATTTTGTCTCTTCGGGGAACATTATTGTGTGTAGGAGCAATCTTCAAGGGTTAGAGAGCTGAATAAAGTAAGGACCAACCTTTGAAGATCTCAGGTTTCTGTACCAAGAGATTTGTTATTTTGTCCATAGTGCTTATTAATACAGTGCCTAGTGTATTACTATAATACTGTTAGTTTTATCAGTATTATCATGCTTAACTCCACCAGCCAAGAAGGTTGTTTTTATTATTTATTTTGTTGTTGTTATTAAACTTCACCTGAGGATATATTTTTTCCATTAATTTTTAGAGTGAGTGGAAGGGGAGAGGAGAGAGAAAGAAATAAACAAACATTGATGTGAGAGAGACACATTGGTTGCCTCCTGCACACACCCCAACTGGGCCTGGGGAGCAAACCCGCAACCCAGGAACATATTCCTGACCAGGAATGGAATCGGTGACCCCTTGGTTTTTCAAACTACATGTGGACACAACACAGTTCAGAGCTTCTTATTCTAGGAGAACAACTTCTAATTGACAACCATTGTCAAAGTACTCTCTCTACCTTTCTTTCCTACTATGTGGTCTTTCTGTCTTTAGGACCACTCATGGCTGTGGTAGTAGTAAGAGAAGCTCTCAGGTGAGAGTCTAACCTCCTGATACATCTTTTTTTTTTAATCTATGCACTTGCACTTGTGTTAAATGTCTTCCCTCACTTCCTGATGTCACCTGAGTATTTTGTTCTTACATTGTGATATCCTGGGAGAAACCTCTGTCTTTCGTGTATAGGCAGGCAGGCAGGCAGACAGACAGACAGACAGACAGCCAGCCAGCAAGAAAGAAAATATGGTTTGTGACAACATATTTTCAAAAATGATGAAATGGAAAAAAAATTTTTTTTTTTTTTTTGAAATTACCTTCTCACTTACCTGGTCTCACTGAATTTAACTCTTTATTGAAAGCACTTTTCATAGTTTCTTTTTAAATTTCTCTCTCAAACTGTTACTCTCACTCTTCGTCTTTGTCTGTGCACCTTTTTCTGGAAGATGCACATTCCTCCTTGTTCATTTTTAAGCAGTTCCAAAGCTACTGTTGGTATGCCTGAAGCTGCTTTGTGGGCAGAAAGCCAAGAGTGAGATCAAGAATTGTTAAGAATTTAGCCCTGGCCAGTTTGGCTCAGCGGTTAGAGTATTGGCCTGCGGTCCAGAGAGACCTGGGTTCGGTTTCCGCTAGGGGCACGTACCTCGGTTGCAGTTTACCCCGGCCCTGGTTGGGTCGTGTGGGCGGCAGCCACTTGATGTGTCCCTTTCACGTTGATGTTTCTCTCTCTGTGTCTCTTCCTCTCTCTCCCTCCCACTCTATCTGAACAAAAAACAGAAAAATATCCACAGGTGAGGATAAAAAAAATTCTTTTTTAAAAAGAATTGTTAAGAAATTAAGTGTATAAAGAAAGGTTGCTGCTCTGGGTCATGAGTATTTAAGATGGTCCAAGAGGTTGGTATGGGAAAGAGAACAAGATGGGGTGGGAAGCACTTGCCCTAACAGAGAGCAAGATTTATTATAAAGCTGCAGTAATAAGATAATGGTAATAGCATGGAGAAAGATAAGTAGAACAGTAGTAGAATAGAATAGAGAACTTATAATTATATTCACACATACAGGGAAGCCTGAGATAAGGCAGAGGTAACATTGCAGATTAGTGGTTTGTAAAGATGAGTTGTTCAGAAATGGTGCTGGAAAATTGATTATCCATACAGGAAGAAAATTGGATTATTTTCATCAAACTTATGGATCAATTTGTAGATAAATTGAGGACTTAAATGTGAGGGACAAAACTCTTAAACATTTATAATACATAACATTAGCCCTGGCCGGTTTAGCTCAGCGGTTGGAGCATCGGCCTGCAGTCGAGAGAGACCCGGGTTCAGTTCTCGCTAAGGGCGCGTACCTCGGTTGCACTTTGTCCCCGGCCCTGGTTGGGTCATGTGTGCAGGAGGCAGCCACTCAATGTGTCCCTTTCACAGCGATGTTTCTCTCTCTCTAACTCTCTCTCCCTCCCACTCTATCTGAACAAAAAAATGGAAAAATGTCCTCAGGTGAGGATATAAATAAATAAATAAATAATACATAACATTATACTTTTTTTTTTTTAACCCTCAATCGAGGATATGTTTTTATTGATTTTATTTATTTATTTATCCTTACCCAAGGACATTTTTCCAGTTATCTTTGGACAAATTAAGAGGGAGCGAGAGAGAGAGGCATCGATGCACGAGAGACACATCAACTGGTTGCCTCCTGCGGGACCCCGACCGGGGCTGGGGATGAACTGCAACCGTGCCCTTGGCCAGAATCAAACCTGGGTCACGTTGGTCCGTGAGCCGACGCTCTAACTGCTGAGCCAAGGCTGTTTTTATTGATTTTAGAGAGAGAGGAAAGGAGGGAGAGAGATACATAGATCAGCTGCCTCCCACTTGTGTCCCAGCCATGTCTCGAATCCGTAACCTAGATATGTGCTCTGACCAGGAATTGAACCTGCAACTCCTTTGTTCACAGGATGATGCTCCAACCAACCAAGCCACACTTACCAGGCTATAACATTATACTTTTGACCCTCAAGTAGTACAGGATTTTTTAAAATTTTTATTTCTTTGTTGATTTGAGAGAGAGGAAGGGAGAGGGAGAGAGAAATAGAAACATCAATGAGAGAGAACATCAATTGGCCGCCTCCTGCATGCCCCCCACTGGGGAATTGGCCCACAACCTGGCATATGTCTTGACCAGGAACTGAACCGGTGACTTTCTGTTGCATTGGGTTGACGCTCAACCACTGAGCCACACCGGCCAGGCGTCAGTCACGGTTTCATGCTACCATCTCTCTTACTACCATTTTGGCAGTAAAATAATTTGAAGGGGAATTATGCTCATGCAGGGGGCTATCTAATAGTGGATAAAATGATATAGAAAATCACCAGAGAGTGAAGCAGCTTAATAGAGATCAGTGTTTATAATATTTTAGTAAGAACTATAGGAAAGTGTTTGTAAAATTACATTGCAAAATAGTCCAATTTGTGATTGAGGAAGGGCCAAGCAAATGAACTGTGTATGCATTTGTGTATATTATATACTCAGTAGTACCATATCGTTTTGTTTTTTTTAATCCTCACCCAAGGATATTTTTTCAGATATCTTCAGATAGATTGGTAGGGGAGAGAGAGAGAAAAACATCAATGTGAGAGACACATCGATTGATTGCTTCCCACACAACTCCGACCAGGGCCGGGGACGAACCGCAACTGAGGTATGTGCCCTTGGCAGGAATCGAACCTGTGACTCTTTGGTCCGCAGGCTGATGCTCTAACCACTTAGCAAAACTGGCCAGGGCCCATATCATTTTTTTTTTTTTTATCCTCACCCGAGGACACTTTTTCATTCTTTGTTCAGATAGAGCAGGAGGGAGAGAGAGAGAGAGAGAAACATCGATGTGAAAGGGACACATCGAGTGGCTGCCACTCGCACAACCAACCAGGGCCGGGGACAAACTGCAACCGAGGTACATGCCCTTAGCGGGAACCGAACCCGGGTCTCTCCGGACTGCAGGCCGATGCTCTAACCGCTGAGCCAAACCGGCCAGGGCTATATCATTTTTATATGTTAATGCTTTGTTCTATTAATCATGGAACCTGTGCAGTCAATTATGAAGTCTCTCTGATTTGTCCAGGAATTTGGTATAAAGTGGAATTCCTTTATGCTGAATTATTTGCGGTAGAGTATTATAATGGAAAGAGTTTGGGGACTATTCGGGGTAGCTATGTTTTATGACCTGAAGAGCCTGTTTCATCAAAAGTGCGAGTACTCAAATGATCCTGACCCAGGAAACTAGCACAATTTTTGGTCTTTAGATGATCTTCCTCAATTTTTACAAATGATTACACAATTTTTTTTCTATTAATAAGAAGTTAAATTTTTTCTAATTTAATAAAGACTTAAAAATATAAATTGATATATTTATGGGTACCGTGTTCTTAGCCCACTTTAGTAATGCAGTCTCCTTACCTCTTTTCTTTTTTTGTTAGTAATAGTATTTATCTTTTAACTTAAAAGTGAAGTGTGGCCCTAGCTGGTTTGGCTCAGCGGTTAGAGCGTCGGCCTGCAGTTCAGAGAGACCCGGGTTCGGTTCCGGCTAAGGGCACGAACCTTGTTGCAGTTTGTCCCCGGCCCTGGTTGGTCATGCGGGTGGCAGCCACTCAATGTGTCCCTTTCACGTCAATGTTTCTCTTTCTTCCTCTCTCTCCCTCTCACACTATCTGAACAAAAAATGGAAGAATGTCCTCGGGTGAGGATTTAAAAAAGTGAAGTGTGTTAGCACCTGGGCAGGGTTCTCACACTGCCACTAGTAGACAGAAGTATAGTTGGTGATAGCAATCTAGTGCCCTGTATTGGAAATGGATCTCACACCCTTTCTCAGATAGCCACCTTCTTATTCAGCATAGTGTGATAGGGAGCTTAACAGAAAGGTGTGATTCCCACCTCCCTGAGAGGTGAACCAAGCTGTTACAACCCAAGAGACCTGATAATTAAAGTTCCAAATTCATCTTTGTCTATATTTACCAGGGGAAGTCTTCTCTCCAAATTGAAGTGTTTCTGCTAATTAATTTTGGTACCTGTAATTGAAGAATCTGGTACAGCATACCCAGATATGCTTAGTCTGCTAGCTCTGTCTTCTATAGAGGGCAAAATCTGCACAAAACATTACCAAAGATGAATTTTGATTGCTGATATTTTTCAAGTAGCCTGGTTTCTCCCCACCTGATAGAAGTTGCTACATCTTTCCAAACAGGTTCTCTAATGATCTTGCTTCACCATGGCTACAAATATGGAGGGGCTGGTTCAGCACAGAGTGGGGACCCAGCAGGTGGCTGAGGTGAGTGACAGGGGCTAGCACAATAGCTGGCACCCTTGCTTTTGAAAGGAAAAGTACATCAGTATGCTCTCTTGTTTGAAAACAGTCCCAATGAAGTCAGCATGTAATCTAAATCCAAAGCAGGATGCTGCCATGGAAGAAAAAACTGAAAATGACAAGAACATTTACTTCTACCGTTCCCTTTGCATGAGCAGGGTGGCCTAGCTGCAAACAGTAGGTGACTTTTTAAATTTTCACCTGAACTAAAAGAATCTGATGCTTATCAAACATGTGAGTATCACTTTAACTCCAAGGTTCTTTCTTAGTTTATAACACATTTGACACTTTGTTAATATTGTGTTATGGTAGAAAACCCGATTCTGTGCATTCTACAGTCATTAATGATCAGCTACCATGAATAGGGGATTTTGCTAAGTGCTGAGAAATATGGAGGTGAATGAGCCATTGGTCCTTCCTTTAGCATTTTCAGGAGCAGGTTAAAAAGTGATTATAAAACAGGGTGAGAAGTACAATTCCATGTGAGGAAGGTGATCCTGGAGGTGTGTCTTGAATGACAAGTAAACATTTGTCAGACCTGAGGAAGTGGGGTGGCAGAAGTCAGAATCCTATTTTTAAAAAAAACATGAAATAAACCGGCCAGTGTGGCTCAATGGATTGGGCATCATCCTGTGAACTGAGAGGTTCTGGTTCGATTCCCAGTCAGGGCACATAGCCGGGTTCAGGATCCATCCCTGGTAGGGAGTGTGCAGGAGGCAGCCGATCTCATGTTTCTCTCTCACAGTGATGTTTCTATCTCTCTCTCCCTCTTTCTCTAAAAAAATCAATTTAAGAAAACCATATTTTAAACAACAATAAGACAAAATAACTTGGTATGTTCAGGCAACTTGGGTTGTAAAGGAGGGAAATAGGGCAATATCTTTTCACTCTGTACCAGGTCCTCTGCAAAGTCTTCAGTCATCACAATAACCCTATGAAGTTGGTATGATCATTATTCACATTTCATAAAGGAGGAGGAAACCAAGCTCAAAGACAAGTAATTGACCAAGGGCACACTGACTCCGTTCTGTTTCACTTCTTCCAAAGTTTCTCCAATAAACCATGCATCATATTGCAACCAGGAGTCAACCAGAACAATTCAAATTTGTATTTTTGAATCAGTACTCATATTTCTAGGGCAAAAAAATGCAAATGTATGAAAGAAGACATTTAAAGAAAGGATTTTTAAAAATAAAAACTAAATGCACACATACCAGTTTAAAGCAATAAAAGTAGTGAGCAGATTTTTCAGATTTTAGATCAACCATGAACTTTAAGGCAACAGTATAACTAATCATCCCCTTCCTCCAGTAAATAATGATTAATATAAACTAAAGATGATAGCAGATGGATTTCACACATTTTTTTTTAGTGTTATATTTTTGAAAGGCCTATCAGGTATCAAAATGCTTGTGGTTATTTGTTGCTTTAGTTTCTGACAGGAATAATTATCTTGAAAACCATTGGTTCTTTTTTTTAATATTTGGGGTTATTTTGCATTTAATACAGTTTCTAGTTGAGGCTGATTCAGAGACTAATTATGGACCACTGCTGTAAAGAGGTCATTAATTCTTTAGGGGATGAGTTCAGTTTAGTAACCTATAGTAATTTATAGGTTAATATATTTTGTGTATGCATTCAGAAAATTTGCTACCTAAAATTTTCAGTCAGGTACCTTATTTCCTTTAGGAAATGGAATTTCATATAAAATAACTTAGCACAATTATTGTTACCTGTGGCAAAAAGTGCAATTTTAGGAGATTTTGAAAATAAGAGAAAGCATTTTTTTTCCCCGAAATTCTAATGTTGTAAACATTTATTTAAAAAATACTACAGAGGAGATAGAAAGCATTTTTTTTTTTTTTTTTAATCCTCACCCCAGGATAATTTTCCTTTATCTTCAGATAGGGAGGTAAGGAAGGAAAGAGAGAGAAACATCAATGTGAGAGAGACACATTGGTTGGTTGCCTCCCACATGACCCCATCCAGGGCCAGGACTGAACCGGAACTGAGGTATGTGCCCTTGACCGGAATGGAACCCACAACTCTTTGGTCCTCAAGCTGGCATTCTAACTGCCAAGCCAAACTGACCAGGGCAAGAAAGCATTCTTAATAAGGGTGCAAAAGCAATCTTCCTATTTAAAATATTCCCTAGATTTTCTTGCTATTATTTTGAAGGATAAGTATGCATGTGTGTTCTTTGAAATTTTTAGCTTAAGAACTTTGAACTACATATTATAATAACTATAGGCATGTGCCATTTAACAATGGGGCTGTGTTCTGAGAAATTCATTATTAAGCAGTTTTGTTGCGCAAATATCATAGAATGTACTTACACAAACCTGGGTGGTATAGCCTATCTACTATGTGCACACCTAGCTATATGGTGTAGTCCAGCAATTTTCAACCTTTTTCATCTCATGGCACACGTAAACTAATTACTAAAATTCTGTGGCACACCAAAAAATACATTTTTTGCTGAACTGACAAAAAATGTGTATAATTTTTATTCATTCACACTGGACAGCTGTTGCTGTGTTGGCTGTTGTCATTTTTTTATTTGACAGTCTAAGGGAAAAGAGGTCAGTGCCCCTGCCTAAATAGTCAGGTACTGCATGTTTTAAAACTTCTTGTGGCACACCAGTGTGCCTCCTGCAGCACAATGGTTGAAAATTGCTGGTATAGTCTATTGCCCCTAGACTACAAGTCTGTGCAGCATGTTACTGTACAAAAACAACACTAAATTAAATTAAACAAGAGAAAATGATGCAATCAGGAGACAGTAAACATGAGACATATGAACTGAAGTAAAGAGTATACTCTACAATAACAATAAAAAGTATATTATAGTGAATACATAAACCAAAACATAGTCACTTGTTATCATTACCAAGTATTATATACTGTACATATTGTATGTGCCATACTTGTTTTATTTTTTTCTCTTTGTTTTTATTGATTTTATAGAGAGAGGAAGGGAGAGAGAGAGAGAGAGAGAGAGAGAGAGAGAGAGACATCAGTGAGAGAGAATTGTCATTGATTGGCTGTCTCCTGCACACTCCCTACTGGGGATCAAACCTGAAACCTGGGCATGTGCCCTGACCTGAAATCGAACCCGCGACCTTTAGAGCCCAGCTTTTTTTTTTAATCCTCACCCAAGGACATTTTTTGATATTTTGTTCAGATAGAGTGGGAGGGGGAGAGAGATAGAGAAACATTGACGTGAAAGGGACACATCAAGTGGTTGCCACCCACACGACCCAACCAGGGCTGAGGACAAACTGCAACCAAGGTACGTTCCCTTAGTGGGAACCGAACCTGGGTCTCTCCAGAGCTCAGGCCAATGCTCTAACCACTGAGCAACCCAGCCAAGGCTAGAGCCCAGCTTTTAATCACTACACAGTAGGTTCATTTTTTAAAATTTCCTAATGCTAATAGTAGTATTAGTTTTTTGGATTATGCATGATTGTCTTTATACCTTCATTTTCCAAATTTTAATTGTAACACTTTTTAAGAGAGTAATAACATTCTAAACAAATTAAACATGATTCTTTTCATGGTCACAGAGTATCAGAAGTATGGAATCCAGGGTTCTGCTAAATCTATATATTGTGGAATTGACTGTGGATAAAGAACAATATGGTTAATTTTAAAAAAAGAGATAGAGATAGTTGACAGTTTAGAATTTGCAATCAAAACAAAATCAGTGGGAGACTGATTTTATCTAACAGAAGCATTCATTTTGCTTTACATATATGACAAATTTTCTAAAGGGCTTTGGTATTTTTTAAACATTTAAGATTTCTCTCTCTAACTGGAAATTTAAAGTGACACACAGACAAATACATAGACTGTGTGTTTCTTCAACATTGCCTAAATGAAGTAAAGACACTATTTAACTCTATAAGATGTTTTGAGTCAGGAGAAATTTAGGAGTTAAGTGTTGGAGCACTTTGAGTCACTTACTGATTGCCAGAAAGAGAACCCTCATAGACCCAAAGTTTAAGTTGCTTTTATGTTTATGCAGTGGAAGTGAGGTGGCTTTACAGATCTTGGCAAGACTTTTCCCTGGGCCCTGGGCTGTGTAAGGGGCTTGCAGCCATCAGATGCTCTTTGAGCAGGAAGATCCTGTCATCACTGAGAAAATAGCCAAATTCTTACAACCCCATTACTCTTTTTATCATCAGGGCTTGCATCATCATTGCAGAAAACTTAACGTTCCATATAAGGGAATGTTTAAAAACAGGACTTTCCTCTGGCCGGTTTGGCTCAGCGGTTAGAGCGTTGGCCTGCGGTCTGGAGAGACCTGGGTTCGGTTCCCGCTAAGGGCAGTTTGTTTGTCGGCAGCCACTCGATGTGTCCCTTTCACATCGATGTTTCTCTCTCTCTCTCTGTTCCTCTCTCTCCCTCCCACTCTACCTGAACAAAAAATGGGAAAATGTCCTCAGGTGAGGATTAAAAAAAAAATTAAAACAGGGCTTTCCCAGTTCCTGAATAAAACTTAGTATTGGCAAGGCTGTATCCTTAAGTGAGAGAAAGTAAAGTCATTGCTCAGGTTTCAGGTTTACAGTGTCCTGGAAAGACCAACTCGTTTCATTAAATTTTATTATTCTGCCCTCTTACAAACTGGTCATTTAATTTTAATTTTCTTGTCAAAGTAGTGCATCTATATAGATTTAAACATTGGCTAATTAAAAAAAAAATTTTTTTTTCTTTATTGATTTGAGAGAGAGAGAGAGAGAGGAAGGGAGAGGGAAAGAGAGATAGAAACATTGATGGGAGAGAACATTGATTGGCTGCCTCCTGCATGCCCCCCACTGGGGATTGGGCCCTCAATCTGGGCATGTGTCCTGATGGGGAATTCAACCAGCGACCTCTTGGTGCATGGGTCAACACTCAGTCACTGAGCCACACTGGCTGGGTGGCTAATGTTTTTTGGTTTTTTAAATGTTTTTATTGATTTTTAAAGGGAGAGAGATAGAAACATCAGTGTGAGAGAGAAATATCAATAGTAAAAGTTAGCTAATACTGTGTTTGGCTTGAAACAGAAACACAAACTTCTGAACCACTCCACCTTCTTTTTATCCTTTAGCCTCCCTCTCTAAATTGATTTCTTCTGGTATTTGATTTTTTATTTCTAAAAATATTTTTACTCTAACTTTTTTTTTTTTTAATGATTGTAAGACACTGTCCTTTTTTGGGAGGGAGTTTTTTTAATTGATTTTAGAGAAAGA